AGGACAACTGGGTGAAAGTGTTGTGGTCAGATGAGACCAAAATGGAGCTCTTTGGCATCAACTCGCCGTGTTTGAAGGAGGGGGAATGCTGCCTATGACCCCAAGAACACCATCCCCACCGTCAAACATGGAGGTGGAAACATTATGCTTTGGGGGTGTTTTTCTGCTAAGGGGACAGGACAACTTCACTGCATCAAAGGGACGATGGACGGGGCCATGTACCGTTAAATCTTGGGTGAGAACCTGCTTCCCTCAGCCAGGGCATTGAAAATGGGTCGTGGATGGGTATTCCAGCATGACAATGACCCAAAACACACGGCCAAGGCAACAAAGGAGTGGCTCAAGAATAAGCACATTAAGGTCCTGGAGTGGCCTAGCCAGTCTCCAGACCTTAATCCCATATAAAATCTGTGGAGGGAGCTGAAGGTTCGAGTTGCCAAACGTCAGCCTCGAAACCTTAATGACTTGGAGAAGATCTGCAAAGAGGAGTGGGACAAAATCCCTCCTGAGATGTGTGCAAACCTGGTGACCAACTACAAGAAACGTCTGACCTCTGTGATTGCCAACAAGGGTTTTGCCACCAAGTAAGAAGTCATGTTTTGCAGAGGGGTCAAATACTTATTTCTCTCATTAAAATGCAAATCAAGTTATAAAATTTTTGACATGCGTTCTTATGGATTTTCTTGTTGTTATTCTGTCTCTCATTGTTCAAATAAACCTACCATTAAAATGATAGACTGATCATTTCTTTGTCAGTGGGCAAACGTACAAAATCAGCAGGGGATCAAATACTTTTTTTCCCTCACTGTATATAGACTGACATACACACCATGCACACACACACACACCATACATACATAGACTGACATATACACCATGCACACACACACCATACACACTGCACAGACTGGCATACACACCATGCACACACACCATACACAGACTGACATCCACACCACACACACACCATACACACACAGACTGACATATACACCATGCACACACACCATACACACACCATACACACATAGACTGACATACACACCATGCACACACACAGACCATACACACAGACTGACATACACACCATGCACACACACACACACCATGCACACACACACACCATACACACATAAACTGACATATACACCATGCACACACACACACAGACCATACACACATAGACTGACACACACCATTCACACACACACACCATGCACACATAGACTGACATACACACCATGCACACACACACCATACACACAGACTGACATACACACCATGCACACACCATACACACATAGACTGACATATACACCATGCACACACACCATACACCCCATACACACATAGACTGACACACACCATGCACACACACACACACACCATGCACACATAGACTGACATACACACCATGCACACACACACCATACACACATAGACTGACATACACACCATGCACACATACACCATACACACATAGAATGACATACACACCATGCACACACACACCATACACACCATGCACACACACACACCATACACACATAGACTGACACACACCATGCACACACACACCATACACACTGCACAGACTGGCATACACACCATGCACACACACCATCCACACATTGACTGACATACACACCATGCACGCACACAGACCATACACACATAGACTGACACACACACATAGACTGACATATACACCATGCACACACACCATGCACACACACACACACCATACACACATAGACTGACACACACCATGCACACACACACACACACCATACACACATAGACTGACATACACACCATGCACACACACACCATACACACAGACTGACATACACACCATACACACACACACCATACACACATAGACTGACATACACACCATGCACACACACACACACACCATACACGTATATAAGTCACACGCAACATCTCTATACACACACCTTACACAGTACTGCAGCACATAATGTGCTCACACTGCATCGGCAGATACAGGACACACGCACAGACGCGCATCACACGCATTATATGTGTACAGTACACCACACACACACTGTATACAGACACACATAAAGCATACAGAAACGTACTGCACATCACACACACATACTGTACATTACACACAAACACCGTACATGCACACAGTGTGCATGGGCAAATGTTCAAGTACCGTATCAACACACGTGTTTTATTACTGTACGTACGCGTTGACAGCTAAATACATGCAAACAGAACACACACACGTACAGTACTACACACATGTACAGTACTACACACATGTACAGTACTGATAGAGGCACACATGTACAGTACTGTACTGCTATACACGTGTACAGTATTACACATGTACAGTACTACACACATGTACAGTACTGCTCTACACGTACACACACAAACGGTGTACTCTACAGCACTGCTATACACATACAAAGGCATACTTATGTTGCAGAGTGTATAGGCTATATACACACACACACGTGTGTATGTATGTATGTAGATATACATGCGTATCATGGCTTAATTTAAGCCGCAGCTGTCCAGGGGCTGAGCTCCGGAAAATACCTCCCACCACCTACCTACCCTTCTCTCACACTCGTCACTCACTCACACACACGCACACGTGTGCAGTATTCATCACCACGGGCACGGAGCCGGCTGGGCTAAGCACATTGTGGCGGATTAGGGGGCAATGCGCATTGCACAAGGAGTGAGTGTGTGTGTGTGGCGGGGGTTGTGGGGAGCGGTGGCGCAGCGGTTAGCGCAACTGCAATGCGAACCCCGGCGACCCGAGTTCGATTCCCCCAGTGACGATTGTATCTGTAACCGGTCCTGGGCCCTCCTCCACCTAGGTCGACTCAGCCTCAAATGAGTAACCTGGTGTGTGTTGTTGAAATATCGGTAATGGGGAGACAAAGGCGGTCGGGTGTGGTGCTGGCCACCCACCCCCCACTTCGTGTGCCACAGTGACGGTCCTGGGCTCTCCTCCCCCTAGGTCGACTCAGCCTCAAATGAGTACCTGGTGCGGTGTGTAAACATCGCCACTGGGGAGACAAAGGCGGCCGGGCGTGGTGCTGGCCACCCACCCCCTCGTGTGACGTGCCGGCCTTCATAGGTGCTCGCTAACAGCACTTACCCCAACAGCCTGGTAAGGCTACACGGGGGACCTTTGTCTTTATGCGTGCGTTAGATTCCCTACCGGGGGGAACCTCAGTGGTTTGGGACATTTGAACGAAGCTGTCAACAGGGGGACTCCCCTAGGTTGACTCAGCCTTAACTTAGTACCTGGTGCGGTGTAGATCAGAATTCCGGAGACAAAGGCGGCCTCGGAGTGGGCGAATAATTGATCAGGGCGGATATGCGACGGAGCTAGTATACTAACGTAGATTCCACAAACCTGTCAACCCCTTATCAGTGCCCGACCTTATTACGGACCAATTCATGACCTTATTGGTCAACCCGTGCCCTTTATAAATCTCAACGTGCATCCTATACACTGCATTATATACTACACTACTATTCACTACTATACACTACACGACTATAAACTATGCTACATACCTGTCAACCCCTTGTCAGTGCATATCTTATTCCAGACCAATGCAGACCTTATTGGTCAACCCGTGTCCCTTATAAATCTCAACGTGCATCCTATACACTACATTATACACTACACTACTATAAACTATGCTACATACCTGTTCAACCACTTATCTGTGCCCTACCTTATTCATCTCAACGTTCATCCTACAAAGTCCCATCACAAGGGCAGAAACACAGACAAATAGACAATATCTAAATATATTTGCCCGTATTGAAACGGCTGCACGCCGTACGGACCCTAAAACTCAGATTTCCCTGTACAAGACCACATGGCAAACCGTATGGGGGATCGATACGGTCTTATTCTTCGATGTCAGCCCACTGCTGTGTATGTAACCATACTTCGCCTATAACGTCAGCTCAGGTTGATGCAAAGGCGGAGGGCACACCAGACGTACGGTACATCACTGGATGTCGCTGGCCTCCTACTGCCCCTCAGTAGACAACGTAGACACACCGCAGCCCATAGCAACTATGTTGTATGCATGGTAAAACACCCCATCCGAGCACTGTATAGTTACCATCCAAGGTTCATCCCCATGCAAAGCTTCCGAGATTAGCACGGTTGGCTACGTACGGTGCGAAAGAAGTTCAGCATACATACAGTCGACACAAATGTTGTAGAGAAGCTTTAAGCGACACGGTCTCTGTGTGTGTGTGCTATGGAGGAGGCTCGTGAAGGACGCTGCTGCTGCTGGGCAGTTGGGAGGCAGTCGCCCTCCATCAACAAGAGGGGAGAGGAGCGACGCTCACAACAACGAGTGGAGCGCGCAGGGCGGATAAAGCACAGCGAGTTTGCACAGTAGGGGGTACAGCTGGTGGTGCATCTCGGTCAGTCAACCCATGGCACCTGCTGGGTCTGTCCCGAGACCTCCTCCTGTCGGCAGGGAGCCTTCGACACTTCACGTGGCAGCTTTAAAGTGCACCTAGCCTGGCACAGGCGCCGTGGTGACATTACTGTCACTTCGTGGCGAATGGCGGTTGTTGTTGTTCTTAACCATGACCTTCATAGGTGCTCGCTAACAGCACTTGCCTCAACAGTCTGTGAAGGCTACACGGGGGATCTTTGTCTTAACCGTGTGTCCTTTGTGGGGAGCGGTGGCGGAGCGGTCAGCGCGCTGCGCTCCGAACCCGGCTACCCGAGTTCGATTCCCACTCACGGCCACCCAACACCGATTTTCTGAACCGGTCCTGAACCTCCCCCCCCACCGCCGCCCCCCACTCGGTCGACTCGGCCATAAACGGGTGCTTGGTGCGACGTGGATATTGGCATCGCTACTCGGGAGACAAAGGCGGCCGGGCGTGGTGCTCACTAAAAGCACGTGCGCCCAACAGTCTACAACCGGGTGATGTTTGTAAGGGGTGCGCGCGCGTATCCTTACCCGTTTGTCCTTTGCCCAGGGTCTTCTCGAGTCGGTAGGGTCCCACATACTGGGTGTGAACAGCCGTCGCGCTGCCCGACATATTCACCAACAACTCGCACGACAACCACCAACAACTACAACCACCGGCAGAGCCTACCCACTGCTGCTACTGCTGCTGCACCGCGCGGAATCATCGACTACGGAGATTCATCAGCTCCCCCCCCCTCCATGTCGCATCATCCTCACGGAGATCACACATGGCAGCGGCGGCACATGTGTGGTGGCTAGAATGAAGAGGATGTGATTATAAGAATGGTGGTGCTGAAGCTTTTTATGATATCAAAGCAATGATGACGATCGCGACGATAGTGTGATATTAGAATGATATTATAATGATGATCATATTGACGATGATAGTGATGACGACAGATTGATTAAGATATATTTAGGATAAGCCCAAGGAGATGATGATGATGATGGTGGCAGTGATGAGAAGAAGATATTATTAACTGACGATGAAGGTGACGATGGTATTGACGACGACACACTAACGATGCGACTGGCTGTGACGAGGTGGAAGAGGTGCTGGATGAGTGGAGGACCCGCTGCTCTGCTGAAGATGCATTATGAACCCGGCTCTTCCATCCGGGTCACAGCTGGTACCATGCGTTCGCACATGCGCGTATCCAATTCATTATATATTTACATTTAAATGCGCTGTGTGTGCACGTGTGTGTGTGTTGGGATGGGGAGCGGTGGCCGTAGTGGTTAGCGCACTGCGCTACGAACCCAGCGTCCTGAGTTCGATTTCCCTGCCACGGCCAACATCGGCCACGATGTTACCGAGTGAATATAAAAAAAACGGCTCACGAGCCTCTCTCCCTTTGGTCCACTCGGCCCTAAATGAGTATTTGGTACGGTGTGTGGGATTCATGGGGACCGGGGAGACAAAGGCGGCCGGGCCTGAAGCTGGCCACTCCGCCTCTATCTCTCGCGTCGTTAGTTATGGCCGGCCGTCATGGGTGCTCGCTGGCAGTGTTTGTCCCCAACAGCCTTGGACATGGCTGCACTGGCGATCTTTTTTTTGTGTTGTGAATGTTGATATGTGGCAAGGTGCACCTAGGCTGGCACAAACGCCGCGGTGATGTCACCGCCGCTCAGTGGCGAACTGTGGTTGTTGTTTTGTGTGTAGACGTCTTCGTGCGTTATATGTGCGGTGTCTTAGGTTAAGTGTGCGATGCGTATGTTTTGTTTGAAGATGTGTCTGTGCTTATGTGCGCGTTATCTCACCAGTATACATACAGTATATTTTATTCGTGTTTATGCGTGTTTGGGGAGGAGCGGTGGCGAATTGGTTAGCGCACCACGCTGTAAAGCCGGCGACCCGAGTTCAATTCCCGGCCAAGGCTTAACAACAATGTTGGGTGATATCTGAAACGGTCCACCCTTCACTTTACCAGCGTGGTGAAGTATGGTCAAACAATTCCCATGACCAACACGGCAAGGGGAGCTAGGCCATCATCCAACAGTTATGTATGTTGAACTTCTTTCGCACCGTACGTAAGCAAACCGTACTGATCGGAGGTGCGGGGATTTCACAAAGGGCTGCAATTGTGTCCACGTGTTGGTGTGTATAATAGAATCTGGTGGAGCGGTGGAAGTCCTGGCGAGCGGGAGTGGGGGGGGGGGGGGGTGATGGTGGTTGACTCTGTCCATCATCCTTCCTGGGTTGACATTTTAAGAATTGTACTACGGTGTGGGGAAGTGCCGTCCATAAATGACGTCACGCGATTTTGGACGATTTTTAACCCCCCCCCCTGGTCACACGGCGTCACAAAAAGTCAGACCCCCCCCCCTCAAATGACATCACAAAGCTTTGTCCCCCCCCCCCCAAAAAAATGCTTCAAATCGCTTTAAACTATTGTCATTGTAGTGCGTATTTAATGTCCCATTGCCCTCTGATGTTGTAGGAGAAACATTTATTTAAAAGTCTATTTAATTAAGTGGAATGTCTATATTTAAAGTTGCGCATTGATGTGACGTCACATTTCTCAATCCCCCCCCGGTGCGTGACGTCATTTATGGGCGGCCCCTAAGTCAACGGTGGTTGTCCTACGGATAGACTCGCGCCCGCCATAGGAATGTGACATTGCCAGCACTGCCTCGTGCGTATAGACGGGAGATGCGCTCCATCCGTGGGAAAATGTGTGTGCAGGACGTAACTTCGACTTTGCGTCATGTTAATTTAAGGTATATGCGCACCTGGTTGGTGTGTATCAGTCTCATGTTAACTTCACTGTTAATCTTATCTATCCCGCGTTAAGCACACAGGTCGATAGATCATCACGCTCAATGAAGTTGATGCCAACGCACACTCGCCAACCCCTTACATTTTCCAGATCCCCCGGCCTCCGAGGACCGCTCTTACAGTCTCATCACTTCCACCATCTCTGGCTTTAGGTCTTACAATACTGTATTTTAGTCTTCAGCGGCTACCAAGTCTCATCGCCAAGACCTGGCTTTAAACTTCACCGATCTCCGGGTGCCACTCCAATGCCCGTCTCTGTTAGATGCCCTCCTCCTCGACCCTGAGCACCACGTGTCCCACCCACAACCTCCTCTCGCTGATTATGGACAACGGTACAGAGAAAAGCGTTGGTGCCAGCTTAAGTTGGCAACACTTTATTCCTCCCCATTTATTTGCATTACCAATTTTAAGTGAATTATGTGACAAGGGGCCGCCCATAAATGACGTCACGCACCTAAGGGGGGGGGGTCAGACATTTGTGACGATGTGTGAGGAGGGGGGGGGGTTAGAAATGTGACGTCACATCAAAATGCGCAACTTTAAATAAATACAGACAACACGTTCTACTTAATTAAATAGACTTTATAATAAATGTTTTCTCCTACATCAGTGCAGCGCCACATTAAATACGCACTACAATGACAATAGTTTAAAGCGATTTGAAGCATGGTTTTTTTGGGGGGGGGGGGGCAGAGCTTTGTAACGTCATATTTGAGGGGGGGGTCTGACTTTTTGTGACGCCGTGTGACGAAGGGGGGGGGGGGGGTCAAAAATCATCCAAAATCGCGTGACGTCATTTATGGACGACCCCTAATCCACTCGCCTGGAAGGATTTTACATCATTCAGCTTTGGACGTGGCGAATATTATTAGTTTGTATTCAGTATATATTACCTGCTATATGAAACACGTACTCTAACGCCAAAGGAACGAAGACTGATAAGTGAGCCACGGAGCATGGAGAGATTCACGCTTGGAATTCGATAGTGACACAGGAACACCATGGAGAGAACATATGCAAATTAAACTTAACTAATTGGGTTTTTGGCAATGTATGTCGCTGGAAGGGATGATAGTGGTCGAGAATAATGACGTGGCAGACAAATGAGGCAATGTTATGGTAAGGATCAGAATCGGTATTTATCCTGGAGGAATTCAATGAGTCGTGGAGCTGTTTTTGTTTACAGGATTTCCACCGTGGAGATGGAGCAATGAAATCAGAGGCGTGGGGATTTCGAAAATTTGCTCAGTTTCAACTGCCGGGAGACAAGACTCGAACCAGCGACCTCTGGTTTCCAAATCTTGTGCGATAATCGCAACACCAAAGCAAAATGCCTTATATGTATATTTCGCTGCTGTGCTTATCTTGTGTTCATTTCACTGTTCATTTAACAAAGCTGACTTCACCGTCTCCCCATCCTTTGTCTTCATCTCCCGCTCTCCCCTCCCCCACAATATCACTTCACACCTGCGCTTGTTTATAAAGAGAGGGGGGGGGGGGAACCTAGAGGGCATAGCGAATCACTTTCCCTGGGGGTCTGTGTCTGTGTGCGAACGTGTGTCTGCCTTTTCTCATTTGCCGAAATAATGAATCTAGATTAAAAAAAAGCATAGCGTTGGCAAGTCGGCGATTCTACCGTCTCCACACATACAGTTTCGTCCATCAACACAATGGCTTATCAGACCAATATCACGAAGCGGCAATACTATAAAGATTTTAGAAAACAAAATGGACCGGTTTAGACCCCAGCAGAAAATGTGTTGCTGTATATCAAAACTAATTTATTCTTCTTTTGTGAGGCTTTTAAAACAAATGCTGCCGTATCGCCGGATATTGGCAAGAGCACTCCACGCAAAAAATGGGACCCGGTTCGACACAGAAAGCAAAATACTCCACGGCAACGCATAATGCGTTTGTGTTCGGCGACTGCCGAATGCGCGGCTCGTGTGTTTAGCAATAAAGGGCAACTGAAAGAAACTATTGTGAATAAAAGGTGTGAGTACCGTAATGAATTTAAACAGGCTGCGAACATAGTCTATTAAAGGAGCCTCAACGTTATTAAGGGGAATTCGATTGTACAGAGAATGACGCGAATGAGGACAATGGGTGCCTGAGGCACCGTCTGGCACATTTAACGCGCCGTGAAAAATGTATACAGTCGTATTGGTAGGGAAGATGACACCTATAGTACATTTACAAATTAAAAACACGGTTTCGATTTACAGGCAACGTTTACGTTTGACAACATCTTAATACAACGGCTCAGAGACGGCAGGGTGGCTGAGGGGGGTCAGAGCACCGAGCTGGCACTGCCGAGATCCTGGGTCCAAATCCAGGAAGTTGGTGGGAGACTGTTAAAAATAGATTTTGGAAGTCGCGTGTCGACCGTGCACCAGTTGCATGATCTTGCAGAGGATATAAAGCGTTGGGGGGGGGGGGGCAGACATCATCAACGGCTTTGGCCACAACAACTTGATCTTGTATTCTTTCTTCTACGTGACTTTACCGAAAGAACCAAGAATATGAATCCCTGCAGTCACGAAAGCTTTAATTCGAAATTTAACTTGATCTTGGTAAAACTTGGAAAGGTGTACCGGGATGAGTCGCTTAAGGCCTGGTTGTTTGAGAAACCGTCTTTATGCGTTCCGTAACTGTGCATTTTTTTCTTCATCTTTCATTTTCAGACTTTATTACAAATGTTATCTATGTCATACTCTTTGGGTCTTTCTATCTATGTCATGTTAAGCCGGGAAAGGCAGCAAGGCGGTTCTTGCAGTAGAGTGCAGCAACCCACCATGTTAGAGAATGGCACACAAAAGTGAATCACACTACTTCCGAGATGGCCTAAAACTTCTACTCCAGACAGTGAGGGGCTGCACTTTCTCACCTGTCTGAAAGTGACAGTAATGTTGATTGCATTTCAATCGAGCTAAAATTTCCGAGCTGGAATTTGGCCAAGTGCAGAAGCAAATATAATGCGGTGATTTGTGGAGTCATTGGTGGCCTGTTATGTTTTGCATTAAGGGGCGATGATTGCTAAGTGTAATCCCAATAGATTATCTTCCAATATGGACCATGACGCGAGTACACAATGGCATAGCACACTTCTAAAAGAGATGGAAAGCATTTTATTAATACATCTGCAATAATTACCAGGGTGGCCTGTCAGATTCGAACCATGAACCTCTGCAACAACAGGTGAACGCACGACTGCTGGGTCATGTCACCGTCCATGTCAATATAACTACCATAAACATTTAGTTTGGACCAAACTTTACTAAAAAATTATTAGGGGCTTATTACCAAATTCATCAAAGGGTTTCTCACAATTGGAGACACAAACCTGAGCAAGTGTCGCTATTGTTAATTCATTCTCAAGGACAAACGCTTTTTGTAAAGCTGTGCATAATCTGTGTACGGATGATTGTTTTATTTAACTTATTTATGTTCTGATTTAAAGCTTTCGTGACTGCAAGGATTCATATTCTTGGTTCTTTCGGTAAAGTCACGTAGAAGGGAAAACAATAAAATACAAAATATTGTTTTAGATTTTATTATTTTATTGTTTCCCTTCTACGTGACTTTACCGAAAGAACCAAGAATATTATTTATGTTCATTTACGAGAGGAGTGGGATTGAGATACAGGAGGGCAGAGAGGATGAAGGAGATGGCAGCAAGTGAACAATGAGCACCAACACACTTGAGACTGGACTGGAGCGGTCGCCACTAATATTTTCTACTTGCAACGTGTGCACAGTATTCACTCGCTCGTGAAGAGAGAACGGCTCGAAGACCCGCGGAACCAGACAAGTGGGAAAGGAAGTAAGGCGGTGAGCGGGTACCATATCCCCACCCCAGCCCCCCCCCCCACCCCATCCAAGCTCTGTCGTTCACGAGATATTAAGGTGTTATCGGACATTTAATGAATTTATGTTTTGACAACCCAACAGCATTACAGACAATGCAGGCTGCAGCAGTCACGTGGACTCTTATTCGGTGGAGTTTAACTACTGTGGGTTAATTAATTACATATTGACTTGTGGATTATTTCCTGGTAGTTGCCACATTGCAGTTGTTCATAAACTTGACTAAGTTATAAGCAAGTTTAGTTTTTGCATGTCGAATGCCATGCTTATAAACACAGGCACTACAATTAAAACAAGTATAAAAATATAGTACACACTATTTATACGAGGCAAACTGCTACATATTTGTTGTTTTGCAACAGAAGCATTAACTAAGGATTATTGTGAACTTAAAGTATATTTACGGTACATCTAGTGACTAAAAACTCGACAATACCCATCGTTCAAATCCACATTTATTGTTAAAGTGGACACCTCGTCTTCTGAACACTTTTCAGTGTTGTAGGACACATTCCTATAAAAGCAAGGCAATAAATGACATAAGTTTAAGTCAGGAACACATAGACCAAGGCTCTGACCGTAATTCCCAGTTTCTTAGAATGTATCCTCAAAATTAAGATGACAAAATATTGTCTCATAGAATTGAGCTTCAATATGATCCTCAATCCCAGTCTCCTGAAACAGTTACAACCAAACCGAGTTGGAGATTCAAATCTGGTCTGTAACCAAGTCCTAAGACACTTCCCTGAAGCCGACGAGAGAGACGGGTGCAAGTATGACGATTTGCGTAAAAGTCGCCGTCGTCGTTGATGCCGCCACTAATTTTATCTGGCACTGCGAGCGAGCGAGGGAGCCTGGTATGTCTCGATCCGCTCCCGCACCAGCTCTCGCGACAGCAGCGTCAGCTCCATGGTGTCGAGGGCCTCGTGCAGCACTCCGGTGGTGCCCACCGCCACGTTGCCATCATTCGCCTGGGGCGGGGGAGCGCGCATTGGTTTCAGGAGCCCCACTCAACGCAATCGCACGCTCGTGTGTGTGCGTGTGCACACAAAAAGACAAAGATCGCCCGTATAGACTATTGTGGCACGGCACACCTATGAAGGCTGGGCAGCACGGCACACGAGGGGGTGCTTGGCCAGCACCACGCCCAGCCACCTTTGTCTCCCTCGTGGCAATTACACACCGCACCAGGTATTCATTTAATGACGAGTCGACCTAGGGGAGGCCCAGGACCTGTTCAGTTCATCGTCACTGGTGTTCGCTAAACGCGACACGCTACAGAGTGACAACACAAAGATCTCCCATATAGCCTTAACAGATTGTTGAGGCAAGTGCTGTTAGTGAGCACCTATGAAGGTCGGCATGGTACACGAGGGGGTGGGTGGCCAGCACCACGCCTGACCGCTTTTGTCTCCTGAGTGGCGATGTTTTTACACACCGCACTAGGTACCCATTTGAGGCTGAGTGTGCCTAGGGGAGGCCCGGAACCGGTTCAGATAATCGTCAACGGTGTTGGCTGTGAGCGGGAATTGACCTCGAGTGGCCAGGTGAGTAGCGCTCCACGCTACCCGTTACGCTACCGCTCTCCAGTGCACACAGATACACACAAACCCACCCACTCTCACCAGCTGTAAGCAGGCGAGCATGTAGCGGCACGCCTCGAAGGGCTCGTGGTCTTTCACGATGTCTGCGAAGCGCATGGATTGGCTGTTGCGCTCAAACCTGCCGATCACGCGGTCGCAGTACGAGCCGATGTCGCACGACCCGCGATCCTCCTATGCCCAACACCGGCGGAAGGAAAACATATCATCATTGTTATTGCCCATGATGTATCCACTGATGGGTGGATGATGGCCTTACAATCCTATAACCACTTCTCACGGTCTGACGATGCAACAGTTTATATAGTACCTGCACACGAGCTGGTTCTATCGCTCCCATACGTTCTCTTGGGCGTGTTCCCACCTTTGACTGCTACTCCATCGTTCGTCTTGACCACCAGCCATTACTTCCTGCCCAAGCCCCATTTAATTTTCTTCGGTCAATATGCCTTTAACTTGCATACCTTTTCTTATAACGTGTTCCTGTTTGTCTCTAAATGTAATTCTAAGCAATGCACTTCTCCATGCTTCTTTACACGCTCTTCCGCTTTTGTATAATTTTCTTCGTAAATGTTCACGTATCCGATGCGTATGTCAAAGCATAGGTCCTATTTCAGGTAAAATGGTATGTTAGTTTTCAGTATCAAGTTCAGCTTTCCAAACCTGCTCCTAACCCGCTCTCATCCATCCATTATTTTTATGATTTTGATGCCGGCTTGCCTTCAGTAACTGCCCGACGTATTTTCTAGTTGTGTCCCTCTCACAAATATCTTCAATTCATTATCTTCAAATACAGTTCTTCTTTTCCACCCAATTGTCCTCCCAGCATCGTGTTGTTACGAGGTAACTCTTGCAACACAGACATCAGTGTAATATCACCCCATGTGACAGAATGAGGTTCTGGAAGATGTCACTGAACTACAACCGTATTCTGCGGATGAGAACATGAGACTTCCCCCTCCCCCACCCCCCGTATTTTCAAGAAAAATGTCCGAGCAGAGCGCTTGAAAGTAGAATCTATCTTGCTTTGAACTAGGACCCATATCTAAGAGGGGCCCCTTGCCTATAAACATCTGGCAGTTCACCAGCACTGGTTCAGGCAAGCCTGACTCTTAAGCAAACAGTTGCGCAACTTCTCTCAGCAACAAGCCGTGAATAACCATTTTAGTTGCATGCAACCAAGTTACGCAACTAATTATTATTAAGGTGTGGACCCGGCTTTATGATCGTCCTCACCTGCAGCTGTAGCGTGGGCATTATCATCTCATCCCAATCTCGGATTCTCCGTGACAAAGCTGTGTCCTGCGCATAGCCTGCCGAGGCAGCCATGTACATTTCCTAAACACACACACGCATGGATACAGTACAAATATAAATGTATATAGGGTGGTGATGTGGCCGAGCGATAGCATGTTCTACCGCTTGTTGCAGTTATTGGGAAATTGCTAAATGGGAAAAAGCAATCTCAACATAGCCACTTACTGAATATTTGTTTTTGTTTAACCATCTATGTCTTGGGTTTTAACACCGGTGCTGTCCTTACCACATTACGTATCACTAGCTCCTCAAACTTCAGCTGTTCTTCATTTCCTGTGAAATATAACACAGAAATTAAACATACATGAATACACACAGACACTGGCAATTATGCGTTCGGCTACATGCTGTCACGTGTCAAAAAAAAATCCATTTGAAACTCTCACATCAAGCATCGCACCATCCTGTGGCAGAGAACAGCACTGGGAGATGGCTTCAAAGAACCACTTCTAAAATGACCTCAATAGGCCTCTTTATACACACTAGGAGAACATATTAATACCATGTTGCATAAAAATCACTTCACATACGTCAATTGCTATACTTAAGAATCTCGTACAATCATGGAGTAACTGAAATCTAGATTCAAACCCAGGTAAACAATGGTAACAAAAGCTATAAGCACAGGTCCGGCACTCTTTACAGCCAAGCCAGCATTGGAAATTCCACATTGTTATGCCAGAGACATGTTCCTGCAATTTTATCTCTATCGAGCTTTCAGTTTAATGTGACGAGATTAATAATCATTTCAGAACTATTGCTGCGCAGTGCAACTATTTGTGTCAGAGAATGGCACACAGAAGCGGATATCACTGAGCTACTTCTGAGATCCCTTCAAGTTAACTCCGATCCAAACAGAAACTGCCCACCATGCTAGTTAAGAGTAATGTTCATCACATAACGGTCAAAACTATATTTGAATGCTCAAATCTGGATTGCATCCAAATTTAATTTGATGGGTTTTTTGCAGCTATTGGTGACCCGGCTTATGCCACCAACTCATTAAACTTGAGATATTTTGATGGACAGCGGTGGCCTGGGTTCAAACCTGAGAATTTTAGCGGTGTCAGCTCACCACACACTGGCTCCTGAGGCACCCAGCCACCTAAAAGTGGAACTCAGTTTATTGACCTTGGAGGAAGTTCTGATTCAAACAAACACAAGCTTTGAACTCGCAACCTTCCAATTTTTAGTCAATGCAATGACCACTCTACCACCTGGCCGAATAAAAAAAAAAATTAGCACCAAGTAAATATCACTATTAATCTATATCCCTGCTCACTTCACAAGGATATCATAATACTGATAAAGGCGGTCCCAGCACATAACTCAATCAACCACTCGTGCATTATTTTTACTTTACTTTAAAAAAATGCCTTTTGGCAATGTGACAACACAGATTGCAAGTGGACTGATTTGGCAATAAAGGTGAAAGGGCAAAGTGTTAAAGGAGCTTGTGGCAGCAAACGTACACTGGAGACCCGGTGCCAGGCGGTGGAAATTCCACATTTCTATGGTACAGGTCACTGTATCCAAAAGACAACTGTTTGTGTGCTGTGCTCCAAATTTGTATATCATAAAACCTCGGCTATCCAAACTAATAAGGTGGCGTGTCTTGGTCCAGTTAACTGAAAAGTGCAACTAGCTGCAAATCTAATGAAAACCGATGTAATAAAAACAAACCTTGTGTGTATACATATTCATTGGAATAAAATGTGCAGTGTGCATGTGTTGTGCTCTTGTGATGTTAGCCATGGCCGGACGCTGAACTTGGGTCAACCAGGTTTGTAGCGCAGTGCGCTAACCACTACATTCTCGTTAACCGATGCACAGTATTGTATATGTGCATGAGTTCTGGCCAAATCTCACAATCCCTAGCCAAGAATTGAGATGCGATTCTTGGAATCGATCACGATTATTCACGAGATTGTGGGTTGTGGACCCGTCCTTTAAGTAGACCACAGGATGTGACGTTGCACTCAAGTGTAGTCAAATATAATCTATTTATTGTACCCGCACATGTGAGAGAATTACCAATTTGCAGGGGCACGACGTCGCCTATGACATCATGGGGTGTGGTGTTCAAGTCATCCGCGTCACCGTAATCATCTGTGAAAGGCAAATTTTATAACGTGCAGTTCATCATCGTCACCATTATCTTAGCACGAGTCAATCGCTGGGTTTCTAAGAGAGAAGCAACGATGCATCACCATCAAGTTCAAATACATTTTGGGCTGCAAGGTGACCAGGAGATTTCAGCACAGTAATGTATTCTTGAATTCATCTGTACAAAACTTTTATCCTGCATATACAGGTTAAAGATTCATTCATAGAATTGGCTTATACTGCCAATGTGAGAACCCTCCTGAATAGAGAATTCTTGAATCAGTGAGGCTTTTCTGGATACAATCATTAGCCATGATCAATCCACTAACGGACGATATCTTCCCCACGTTCTCGCCCCCTCAGTCATACAATGCAGTAATCCATCCAGCGAATGCATACGACTTGATGTCATCGCTGCATCTCTGCAGCAGTAGGCGTCCTCTCGGTGGCATTCACTCCTTTGGCTGCCACTCCAATGTTTGCCGTGACCAGCGGAGATCATCCTTTCTAGTGACATGCCCAGCCCAAGCAAACTTTCTAAGCAGTCAAAATGATACCTCCAACCATTTGTGTTGTTCTCCAATCCAGGCGTTTCTATTTTTTGTCTGTCAGTGTAATTCCACACGCGCATCTCCTCCATGCTTTTTTGCACACACTGTTGTTGCTTATTTCTTCTCCATCTTTATCGCCAACGTTCATGTTTTGATCCATGTCACAGCAGGCGATGCGTGCAATATTCATACGGGGGATACGGTCCAGCGGAATCGCGTTGGTCGCGTGTTGCAGATAGAGATCACGGCCTGCCTCGTTAATGGGTGTGTAGTGGGGTGTATTGTGTCTCTGTGGTGTAGCGCCAGTGCCGAGAGAAGAGCGGTACTGTAGGTGTGGAGTCTATCTCTAGCACCGGGATGAGTACGGAACGGAAGGGCCCCTAGGGGGCATAGTTCGGGTGACAGTGAGAGAGAGGTCGGGTGAGGACATGGTAGTCTGGGTGAACTCGAGAAGGCACATGACCGGATGAGGTCGTAACGATGGCCAAAGAGGAGGTGAGAGGGACACGTGATGTGGGCCCAGAGTCTCCGAGAAGGATCTGGAAAGGGGCGTGGCCAAGGGCAGAGCCTGGCCACGCCGCAGCCCATAAAGGCCAAGTCCCAAGAGCGATCTTGGCTGTTCGTCTCTGGGAATGGAATCCGCCGGCTATGTCTTCGGTTTTCGGGCTTCATGCACGGCTTCGTGGTCCAGGCAGGTTGTTTAGCTGACCCGGTCCGAGTATATACTTATCCCGTTGAATGGTTACGTAGCTAACCGTGGTGGTCACCACCCTAAGTCATTATCCCATCGAGTGGTTATGTAGTTATGCGTGGTGGTTACCACCCTATATCGTTATCCCGTCAAGTGGTTATATAGTTAACCCGTTGTATTAAGAATAAACGTGTTGCCACCAAGTTCGAGTGTGCGCCTCTGTGGAACCCACAACAGGTGTATCAACCGTAAAAATAAGCGCCGTCTGATTTATGGTGGAAATTAAAGATGCTGTGACATTATTTGACTAAGTTTCAGCTATGTGTGCCGGCGTCAATGTTTACGTTTGCCAAATTTTAAAAAGCGCTTGCAAAATTCTTAATTGGGAAACACGTAATAACTGTCACACTTCTTTCGCATCGTAGGTAGCCATCCGTGCTAATCAGGTGCGGCCCTAGTGCAAAGAATTGCAGGAGCCTCCTGAAAAGGTCTTGAGACTCATTGAGTCTTTTCAGGGTAAACAAATGTAATAATAATATATCATTATAATTGGATAAACAACTTCTTTGGTTCTGTCGGTGAAGTCACGTAGAATGAGAATAAAATAATAAATTGATAAAACACAATAATATTCTCACGACGTTTCGGCCACAACACAAGCGGTCTTCATCAGGTGAAGGGACGAGACTGTCTGGAGGACAGCGCTGGAGTGAAAAAGCCACGCTCAGATTGCGACCTTTAAGCTGTGTGAGAAGAAACAAAGCGCCTTGACAAAGGAATTAGCATAGAATTTAGCATTGAAATGGCTGAGTGATTAGCTTGTGACTGGTCACAGAAATGGCTATGTTAAAGTTAAAGCATACACATCCGCAGAGGCACCCCTTGACAAAGGAATTAGCATAGAATTTAGCATTGAAATAGCTGAGTGATTAGCTTGTAACTGGTCACAGAAATAGCTATGTTAAAGTCAGAGCATATACATTCACCGAGGCACCTAGTACAAATCAAACAGGAGAATTTAGTATTCATTATATATTGTAGTGTATACCCAGTTACTGTGAATAGCTCAGATGTGTAGGCTTTGACTTCAACATAGCCATTTCTGTGACCAGTCACAAGCTAATCACTCAGTTATTTCAATGCTAAATTCGCCTAGTTATTTCAATGCTAAATTCTCCTGTTTGATTTGTACTAGGTGCCTCGGTGAATGTATATGCTCTGACTTTAACGTAGCTATTTCTGTGACCAGTTACAAGCTAATCACTCAGCTATTTCAATGCTAAATTCTATGCTAATTCCTTTGTCAAGGGGTGCCTCTGCGGATGTGTATGCTTTAACTTTAACATAGCCATTTCTGTGACCAGTCACAAGCTAATCACTCAGCCATTTCAATGCTAAATTCTATGCTAATTCCTTTGTCAAGGCGCTTTGTTTCTTCTCACACAGCTTAAAGGTCGCGATCTGAGCGTGGCTTTTTCACTCTAGCGCTGTCCTCCAGACAGTCTCGTCCCTTCACCTGATGAAGGCCGCTTGTGTTGTGGCCGAAACGTCGTGAGAATATTATTGTTTTATTTTATTTTATTATTTTATTATTTTATTCTCATTCTACGTGACTTTTTCGAAAGAACCAAAGAAGATGAATCCTTGCAGTCACGAAAGCTTTAAATCGAAATTGGATAAACAAATTGTATTATTGTTACCATTACTATTATCCCATACCAGGTGTGTGTTGGGCCAGGTGTGTGTTGGGCTGAGTGCATGCTGGTACCAAGGCCGTATGGTAGATCTTGAAAATCAGGATCTCGCCCGATCTCTCGGACGCCAGGGATCGATTCTCCCCTGGCACCCTGTCCCTGGTTGCCACCATCTCCGCCGCCACCAATATCATCGCCATCATCATCGCTGTCCGCACGAGTGATGTCCTGGGCGTGGGGCTTCCCGGCCAGGAGCTACCGGATTCAACCGACAACACAAGGGAGGTGAATATACGGCGGCGTTCGATGGACAGCACTCTGCCACGATTGTTAACCAATTACCGCATTTTTTGGATTATAAGTATCTCCAGAAAGTAAGGCGCATCCTGAACTTTTGCTTTAAAGTGCATGAAAAAAAGTCTGTCTTATAATCTGCAGAAATACAGTAGCAGTGATCAAAACTTAAATTATCTCCTTCTTCAGCTAAGCATGAGGCTGAGCCAGGAGTGTAAATGTCTCATTCCCATGGTGGAGTCAAGCCAATCCATTCGCATCATAATACCTATGGAATAACCTACCTGAATAAATACACTCAAGCGACACCACCACTGCATTAAAATTACAAGTAAAAACATACCTTTTAACGCCTGCCTACAACAATTAACTTACAACCATATTTTGTGCGATGATGGTCGTGGCGAGGATGGTGGTGGGGAATTAATTTAAGATTTATGTTTGTGCTTTTAAATTGTATTTTATACTTTATAAATAATTTTGTTGGATTTTAGTGTGTTTGATGTAATAGTGCCTTGCATGGCAGATCTACGGCAGAAAGGTGTCACAGATTAATACAAAAATTACTCGACTTGAATCCAATGGATTCATCGATGAAAATGTATTATGCTTACAATAAAACATGCATCGAATCGCAGATGTGAACTGTACATACAGCCTCAATGCTAACCTACAGCTTCTATATGAACCCACAGCCTGAACAAGAACCCATGGCCTCAATATGAACCCATAGCCCCAAAACGAACCCACAACTTCAACAATGACCCACAGTATCAATGTCAAGACAAGACTAAACCACAGCCTGGACAATGACCCACAGCCTCAAAACTAACCCACAAAGCCTCAACACTAACCCACAGCCACTTTGACTTCGACTTGACAACCTAAGAAAAGCCAACCACTACTTTTGTTGATGAGCACCATGACCGGGTGTTGGACTCAGGCTCCTGGGATAGCAGCAAAGTGTGTGAACCACACGTGGACACAAGCATAAGGACACATGCGCTCGTGCATGCGTAGATCACAGAGGTTGAGGCATCACGCATAAAAGCGCGGAGGCTTTTGAGAAGACTGTCGCGGCGTCACTCACCAGTTTCTTTTGAATCTTAAGCTGTGTGGCCATTGCCTTCCGCATGTTCGTCCAATACAATTCTTCCAGTTCTGTGGGTGGATCATGCACCGAATAATGGTATGTAACATGCACCTGGACAGGCCTTTTATCAATTCACTGCTGGATGAGAGCCACTCCATGCCATATGGGTCATGGGGATTATGTGACCATACCTCATTTCATTTGTCGGCGCAGGTTGGAGAAGCATTATAGAAATGATAGTGCTCCTATCGTACATATGTCATCATCATCATTCGCCATGATCTACCCACTGCTAGTTGAAAGTCACCACCACCATTCACTAACGGATGTACTTCGGCATTTGATAAGCATTTAAAAATTCACCACCCCACAACTAGCGATTCTAAGAAATGGCACAATTTTGGGTCGCGATACGATTCAAAGAATCAACTTTTTTCTTGTGTTTATCTTATAATTTGTATTGTTTGACTTTTTATTGTGGAGTTTGTTTTGTAAGCAACAAATTGGAAGAAAAAAACGCCATCCACATACATGAGAAATCATACAATTTAATTTTTCCTGCATTTTGATCCTGCGGCCAAGATCTGGGGCATTCCCTGATGTGATCACTCTGATGTGACATGATGTTAACTCTGACATGACGTGATGTTAACTCTGACGTGATGTTAACTCTGACGTGACGTAACGTTAAGTCTGCTGACTCAAGTAGTTTTGGAATAGAAGTTTTTTCAATTCTTGATTTAACCGAGATGACCACGCGATCAAGAAAAGATCAGTGATCAAACCAAAAATGTTGAATGAGCGAACAGTATATTACCAGAGAAACTCAGAAGTGAGGTCTTTTTCCACAGAGGAGCAGCCATAGCTTTGTCTGACAAGATAAAACGTGAAACAAAAAAAAATATTAGGACTGTAACAATTATACGTTTAGCTTGTAACTGTGATGATGAAGAACCATTGCTATATATGTTACCCACCTATGAAAGATAGTGAATGGCGATTACGTCACTTACATGCCTTTGTGAACCAGTCATTGAAGCGCATGAGTTCTACTGCCCGCTTCCTCTTCTGCTTGGTGGCTTTCGGGTCCAATCCAGGTGGAAGTGAGAAGGTTCGCCCTGAAAGTGATTGTCATCATCATTGCAGCAGCAGCAACAGAATCATTATCAAAGCAGCAGAACCAAAATTATCAAACATCCCTATCAAAATCGTTAGCAGCAACATTATTGAGCAACAGCTCCAACTTTAGTTTCATATCATTTTCAACTTCATCGCCATTATCAGCAGCATATCATCATCATCATTATTATCCTCACCATCATAATCACAACCACCTCCATAATCATCCCCACCATCGTCACCTCCTTACAATCACCGTGGTTCCGGTTTCAATGTGCACACCTCACCTTTTACAAAGGGCTTCTCTGGTGGCCCCTCAGCAAATATATCCATGTTCCCCCAAGGGTCAACTGCCTAACACAATGCACGCACATCGATTGATATATCATTACCATCATTTGGTTTTATGGACTGAATTTGGCAGTGAAATTGCTGAGCAATCGATCGTTCGCTACTTGTTGCAGAGGCTCATGGTTCGAGCCCATGGCTACCCTGGTTAATTACTGGAGGTGTATGAACCATATATATGTACCGTCTGCTTCACAGCGGATGTTAAATATCCCGTGAAGTAATTTGGGGAAAGAGTAGGACACGTGCTGATGTCACAGTCCTAATTTCGAAAATAAATGAACTAATTGGGTAAATCATATTCTTGCGTCTTTTGGTAAAGTCACGTAAATAGGTTCAAAGATAATAAAAAAAAACAGAAAACTACAACGTTTCGATAGCAACGCAAGCGGTCGTCTTCAGGAAAAGGGGGGTTAGCTTCCAAGGGAAACTGTTTATAAGGGTTTGAAATGGGCATAGCCCAAATGTCAGCAGCCAGGTTCGATTTAACACAGTACGTAAAATTTGTAATCTGATCCCATCTGTGAAGGATGTGATCCCTGACATGCAATACCCCAGCATCTACAAACTAAGCTGTGTCTGCGGCAGTAGTTACAATGGGGAAACTAAGCGACATGTCTCTGACCGTGTTCGTGAACATAAGGCAGATCTGAACACGGTAGGACCAATACCTCGGCCGTGGCTGATCAGTTTTAATGCGGTGGGCTCACACGAAATTAATTTCTCTAAGACGAAGGTACTTTGCAAGCCCACTGGCTATCAACAAATATTCGTTCATGAAGCTATCCATATATATAGACACAGACACAATTTCAACCAAGAAGATGGGTACAAACTGAGTAATCATTGGAAGGACGTTATAAACCAGTTTAAGTCATAATTGGCTAGGATGTTCCCATCCTACCACCTTCCGATGTTAGTTGTGCTTTACGCCCATTTCAAACTTGCGCTTTCACAGTCGCTTCAAGCCCCGACCCCTTGGTTGCGGCTCTGCGATCTCCATTAACATGCTAATCTCTCTTTAACATGCTAATTTTCACCTGGAAGCCCTTTTGATTAGTGGAAAACGAACCACCACCGGGCTCGCTGCCGAACACTTACATTATCATTGGCTGTTGACATTTGGGCTACGCCCATTTCAAACCCTTATAAACAGTTTCCCTTGGAAGCTAACCCCCCTTTTCCTGAAGACGACTGCTTGCGTTGCGATCGAAACGTCGTAGTTTTCTGTGTTTTTTTAAATTTTCTTTGAAAACTATCTACGCGACTTTACCGAAATACCCAATGATATTAGTTCCTGCAGTCACGAAAGCTTTAAGTCACGATTAATTGGGTAAAACCAAAGAGTAACATTGCCTCTTTTGGCAGATTATACCCGTCTGCATAGAGGCCTTCGTGCGAGCCTTGTGCTATAAGAAATGACACAAATACCAAATGTACTCATCATTAAAACATGTTTCTCCCTCTTCAAGCAAGTAAACGGGACAGGACCTATCGTCGTTGGTGGCCTTTAGCCAGTGGCAGAAATTCCACATTCTCATGGGAAGAGCCAGGCTCTTTGCAGAACCACAAGTGATGAGTTACCTGTGGTTTTGTTGGGGGTGCTTTCTCTCCAAATTCTCTGATCGGTCTCTCTCTCAGCATGTAACCCTTGTTTTCAGGCCTGACCTAGATAACAAAACACAAAGATCACCAGTGCAGCACTCTCAAAGCTCAACAATCGAACGGCATGCAAAGCAATGCTAGCTTGCTATTAATTGCGTCTCCACGCGGTGCGGATGTGTCATGTGCCAGGCAGTCCCAGTCTAGTACCATATTGCACGGCCACTACCGTAGCATTGGATTTATGTGTTCCAGAATTCACTTAGGATTGTTGGTGGTTTCACTGTGTATTTCTACCTTTTTTCATATAAATAAGTAATGCACATTCGTACAAGATATGCAATAAAAATAAGATTAAGAGCTGTAAATGAGCTAAATGTGGTCTTCACAATAATAATCAGTACTGTTTACGAAATCGGTCACTGTTATTTTTAGAGCACCCGCATTCATGGCACACACACACTGGTAAAGGGTGCGCACATATAGTGAAAGCACATACCTGTTGTCTGTCTATCACCTCCTCAGCGGCCGCAGGGTCATCTCTTGGATCAAGCTCTTCAAGCGGTGGCAAGTCATCCATGTCGTCTAAACAGAGAGAGCATGGGATGTGCATGCGCATACATCGTTTATCCACTGCTGGATGAAGGCCTCCTCACAACATCACGGAGGTTATCTTCTTGGGTACTCGTATTTTACGTCTGTTTTAAGTGTAATTTCCCCTCAATTGTTTTTAAATTACGGAGTTTGGGTGGCTATTACACTTACCATGTCCATCTGCATCAGCCAGAGGCAGGAAACCCACGTTGTTGCCATTGTCACCACCTCCGTTTCCCGCGTTGCTGCCGATGGCTTTTTGCAAAGCCGAGAATTCTTCATCTACAACAAAGACACCAAAACAATTAAAAATCCTTTCACAGGTGCAGTGCAACGTCAAATGGATTTTTAATCACTTGGGGTTTGTGCATTTCATTTTTATAGGGATCTGTAGCTTTGAACGGAACACCAATCAATCCACCAGTCAGTACGTTATTCTACCACTTGGTAAAAATGTACCTTTCAATGTCTTAACGAACACACAACCTCAAAAAACCAACTGAGTGCTACTTTACAAAACTCATTATGCACCATCTTACAGAACTGTGGCCAACCCATGAATAATAATTCAGTATATTTAGCATTTGCACCATTATTATAGGTCAAGGCTTTCACAACAGCGCCATAGATTTTCAATATTGTGGATTTGCTCTCCAACACACCGGTGTGCTGTACTAATACTGAATTGGCATGTTTTGTTTACGTGACAAACCTTACTAATTGGTCGTGTTGGGTGGTGGTGGGTTTAACGACACATTTATATTTATGCGATCTAACCCAAAAAAAGACCTGTATTAACAGCGCCATGTTTCACAAACATATAGCCTTCAATAGTTTCACAGAAAGGGGCAATAATGCTTCTGTGCAATCCAAATGGAGTAGTTTGCAGGTAATTTTTCTAATTTTGGAAAATTTGGACCATAACACCAGCATACAATAACCTACTGGTATTCGAATGTCAGTGTGCTGTAGATGGTGTATATTTTTTTTAGTTAATAGTTAATACACCTGCAGTAATAACCAAGGGCGGCCTGCCGGATTCGAACCACGAACCTCTACAGCATGAGCCAAACGCGCTACCGCTGGGCCACGTCACTGCATAAACACACGGGGAGCTTAATTTAATTCTGAAAGACGCTCTGGAAAAGCCCACAGTTGCGTATGATGAACACTTCAGAGAAGCAACGCTCAACACGCAGTCCTGCCAGGTAAACCGCACTCGGGCAGGCGTACAGGAGACTGCTTATCCTCGCCACTGCCTGCTTGCCGCACCTATGGCATCCTGACAGTGGAGCGCGTTGAGGGCCGTGTTGGCGATCGTGGTGCCGTCCACAGAAGAGAGGCCGCTCAGCTCCAGCATGAAGACTCCCGTGTGGTGCGGCGTGCTCGTGTTCATGCGGAAGTCCTTGCGGCTGGCCAGCAGCTCCCCCTTCTGGCTGCATGCAGAGACGCAATCAAATGGGGCGAGGCGTTGGCACGCGGTGGTGGCAGAGACATCCGGAACGCAAGCACAAGCGTGTGGGCGCGTGTGGGCACGTGGGATCGTGGGCACACAAACACGAGCAAGTGTGTGCAATTCAAATTGTACAGCATCGAACTAAATGGAACCGTATCTCAAAATGACTCGCAAACGAGTAAAAGTAATGTGAGTTAAAATATAGGGAGCATATAAACAGGTACAGCTACACTGACAGCCCACCACATGGGGTACAAGATGCACTTTTTTCCCGTTTAAAAAACTAAAAATATTATAATCTGGTGGTAGCTGTGTGTCTGGGTGACCAAATTAATATAACTTTCTTGACAGAGAGTAAAAATGTTAGATGCATCTTACTTTCCAGACAATCTTATAATCTGGAGAATACGGTATACGCTATATATTTTAATTGCTGTTGTTAAGCTATCAGTCTTACAAACGCGATTCGCTCGCTTGTAATCCAAGTGTGGCCCTCCTGGTTGGGCTAAGTGTAGAGCCTTTCTTCTCTGAACCTTTTGCCACATACTAGAAAATGTATCTTCAGGAGCCCAGTAGAGCATGGTGAAATATTCAAAGAGGCAATGCTCAACAACGCCTGCACGACGCAGGTACCTGTAGAGAGGGGTTCCCTGTCGCTCGACCTCATCCGTTGGGATCAGGCACATGGGTATGAGGGGCATGATGCTTGTGTGCTGCAGGAGAACACGCGCAATACTTTTGAAGAAGAGGCAAGAAACAAATTCTCCCCGTCACCAACTCGCCCGCAATTACCCCGATCTCATCAGATCTCGGAGGGCGAAGCAAGTTTGAGTCGGGACGGCGTTGGGTTGGGCGACGCCATGCAGAACACAGGTGTGTCATCATAAAGATGCAGTGGGCCATGTAAATAAGATAAAATGGTGACGTGCGTTCCCTACCAGCATGTTCTGCGGGTTATTATGCAAGTTGATGTTTGACGACGACTGAATATCATCCAGGCTCAAGAACTGGAAAAAAACAAACCCAGTCAAGGCTGAAGTCACTCGGTAAAACACCAGACTTCCACATCAGAAAACTACACATGCGTTATAGTTTAGTTTCCCCCATAGGAAGATGCGTCTTTGCACACTTTTCTGCCTTTGTTCCATTTCCTTTGTCAAAGCCATGTTTCTGATACACATATCATAGCAGGTAATACACGCTGATGTGCACGCTGGGAATTACTTTGAGACAGAAAGAGGAACGCATACATGAGTTAGAGAACATAAGCAAGTTAGGGACATAATAACTACTAAGAAAAATAAGTAGGCTTGTGCAGTATGTGGCATTAGAAGGGATGATCGCCAGTGGTCGAAAATAACGACGTAACAGCAGCCAAAGGAAGGAACACGCCGGACAGAATTTCCAATGCAGAAACGGAGTGATGAAATCAACTCAAGTGTAGGTGCTAGATGGAGTGTTGTATCGCAAAACTATGGAACATGGCCATGGATTGGGCAGGCCTTCAATTGGGATGCAATGATTATGACTGTTGATGATGACATATGACTTACAAATCTTACGTCTGGTCATGATCCACAAACCCTGCATCCAAAACGTTGCACTCTGCACTTCAGTTGTGCGACTGGTTTAACCGCAGGTGTTTGGAACACAGATTCAAACCAAGATTCTCAGTGTTGCTGGCCGAGTACTCTGCAGTAGTATTATCCACACGAGACACCTGGCTACCCCAACACTTTGGGATTGGCCACTGAATGAAACTGGGGAGGGCTTAGACAATAAAAAAGCAAGGCACCTACTTCCTCCTCGTTATGCTTGTAAGCGAAAGAGGTGTCGCTGTCCACGCCCTCCTGCCCAACGTCGGTTACCTTCTGGCTTCGTCTGCGACAGAATGGCAGGACACATGACTATACCGGGCCTGATGCCCTATATGAAGCAAAATCCAGGCGAGCCGGACTAATAGGGCAGGACCCAGTTCAGTTAGCTGAAAATTGGATGAGCTGCAAATGCATTTAAAATGTAATTTCAAAAATACAATGCAGTGTACCGCAGATGTGTACGTGAAATAAATACATCAGTGCGTGGGGTGCATGCGTTTCACAAACAAAATGCTGCTCAATTTGTACTTACTTTTTGTCTGAAATCATATCCAGCGTCTGGTAAACCAGGGAGTACAAATACTCCACCTGTACACACATACACACCAAGGTTTATGGGCTTCGGTAACAAAGGCTAATTGGAACATCTATTAAGGTTGCTATATGAGCACCTACTTGGGTAAATATAGTTGCGGCTGGAGTTGAGATAATTACTAATTACAAACATAGAGTGAAACGAAGGGTGTAACGTTTGAGTTAAGGACACGACACAAGGTGCCATGCTCCCAGAGAGCCAGATACAGCATTCGCTTATAGAGTGTTGCAAATTAATTACAGAGTACGTGTTACACACATTTCAAACACGCATTGTCACACACAACATACCACACACAGCTTTTCCACACAATACCGTGGTATCGCACACACAAAAGTGCCATACACAGGGTGTGTGCGTGTTTGTCGCACACGGTGTCACGTACCTTCTTGCTGTAGATGCACGCTGAGCCCTGGATAAGCAGTGCTGCCTCGGCGAAGTTCATTGTCGTCTTTCCGCCATCGAACGAGATGACGATATTGTCCAGCTGAAGTCAGAGAGCAGCACGAATCACACACACAACACATCATCACTCTTCATTCAACCACTCCGACTATTCACAGCAGCGTGTCAAAAAGCAAACGCGTATGTCCGAAAGAAATTTCGGCCAGCACGAATATTTGCTGACATCCCCGAGCCGGTGGTGGAAATTACACGTTCCCGTGGTAAGAGCCAGTCTTCCCACAGGATGAGTGCTCATTTACAACAAAGCTGCTGTACTTTTATCACACCCCCTGCTAGAGAAATGTTTGTCGCATGGCAGTCACACCGATATTTTTTGTAAAAGCTGGAGCGGTCCAGCGCTGTCCTCCAGACAGTCTCGTCCCTTCACCTGATGAAGGCCGCTTGTGTTGTGGCCGAAACGTCGTGAGAATTTTATTGTGTTATTTTATTTTATCAATTTATTATTTTATTCTCATTCTACGTGACTTTACCGAAAGACCCAAATAAGATGAATCCTTGTAGTCACGAAAGCTTTAAACCAATGCTTATCTGCCAGATGCTTATAGGGAGGGACGCTCTCTTTAAGTTATGGGTCCTAAATTTCGATTTAAAGCTTTCGTGACTGCAGGGATTCATATTCTTGGTTCTTTTATTTTTATTATTTCCCTTCCACGTGACTTTACCGAAAGAACCAATAATTATGGGTCCTAGTTTGATCAAAAAACACTAGATAATACATACCACAAAAATATCATTCGTGCGATTATTTTGTGCTATGCTGAAAATCAAGGTGACGAGGATAACCAACGGGATGACAATCACGATTACGAAGGCGACAAAGATGACCGCCGAGATGATGATAAACCACGATCTTGAGAAACAGGCCCGATGATGTCAATAACGACGAAAATAATCAATACGACGACGACGACGAAGTCAACGGTTACAATCTCCCTCTTCGCAGCAGCAACTATGTCCAGAGCGCGGACTGTGACGAGGTTGACAACGGCGAAGACGTCAACCCATGTCGCCCGCACCTCCTCGAGGTACTCCTCCAGGTGCGCCGCCACGTCCACCTCCCAGTTGCGTGTCAGGTCCCGCAGGGGGTTGAGGAGGTGGAAGAACCTCTGCTCCGGCTCCTCCATCTGTGGGTCCGGTCAGGGGAACAGATGGGCAGGGAGGGATGGGAGGGATGGGATGGAGCGATTCACAACCCTCCGTCCCTTCCACCGTCAAGGTTTTGATTTATGAATCTACGGAGTTCTACGAGAGGTTATAATATATGGCATCTGCAAATGGCGTCATGTATAATATCTATGTGACATGTACAAGCCCCCGTGTCAATCCACTGCTGGATGAGGGCCTCTCCGCACCATGCAAGTTGTGGGGGGTTATTTTGACCATACTTCACCCACAAGCTCATCGGTGTGGGTCGGAAAAGGCGAGGAGCCATGGGCGTGGGGCGCATAGAAGTACAGTATAATGGATTTGGCTACACCTACCCTCTGCTTCAGACAAAGTAGTTCAGAAGCCGCTGCCTGTAGCACCTGTTGTGGATGGTGCTAACCATCCAAGTAATACCCAGGCTCCAAAAAAGCCTGCTTAGCTTTTGCTTTGGCCGTAGGCGTAACGCATTATAACAGCACTATGATATATATGATACGCACCAATTTAAATTGTCAGCTACAGTCATTGAGGCTAACTCATAATTCGCAATATCTGATCATTCACAGAAATGTAACATTACGTAATTCTCCACTAATAATTAACATTTTCTTACATTTACTTTTGTTATTCAATTCTTAACTCACTCGACCACTGTTAGACCGTATAATACTACACGGTAATCACAACGCAGCTTGTAAATATAACTGTATTTACAACGTAAGTTATATTACAGTAGTACAGCACGGTATACTCGTATTTACCAGCATCATATATGAATGCCGCGAATACTGTTGGGAGTTTTATAACATTAAAAACTCAACAGTTCCCAGAACCACATTATACACATTGCATATATATTGCCGTTTCCCCACAACATCCGTGAGGTAAAACATTTCATTTTTAAACATACATATAATCAAAGCGACGTATTCAAAAGTGTCGGGACTGCCAACTAATGCTTAATTCTCACCACGATAATGTTTGTGTTGATAACCTCGTCAGAGAGTAAAATTTTTGTTCCACCTCAGCGCCATCCGCACCTCGTCTCGACGAGCGGATATAAATTTTCCCGCCTCTTTTTTTTAATAGCTGCCCGCGGACCGCGCCTGCGGGTGAACTCAAGACCGGACAAAACGTTTTTTGGCTTAAATTAGTACACCGAAATGATGGTAATTGCAAACGTAGAAATATTTTACTTATTGACACCCCCCCGCTATTAATATCTTATAAATAAATATTAAGGTACAAAGATGGCATCGCGGAATTTAGTTTTGACAGGCACCCATGAAGGGGTCCTACAAGGGTCCCTACTGACTGATGGCTACCATAGCAACCAGCAATAAATCGATTCCCTCTAATCTATTTAATAGATTCCACAAGCACACAAATCACTCAGATTCATACTAAATATGCAGTTATATAGCGGTTAATCGCTACTACGGATTCCAGACTCACGTATCTTCGCATTTTGCGGATCTGCAGAACTTTTTACAGTCTGCAAATTCACCCGCCTTGAGATCCCCTGATAGCCGCTGTGGAATCTGCATTCGCTTGTCAACAAGAATCGACTCCTCAGTGTGAACGAGAATCGTAATCGTTTAGAATCCACAGAATCGATCCACGCCAACAACTCGTAGCGTAAATTCAAAACGTTTTTTTTGTTAAACTGAAACTTTAATTTCTCCACCACGGCATCAGGCGGCGCTGAGGCGACATGGTTTCCTTGCTCGTTGGTTTTAACAAATAAAAAAAAATATTTAAGCTCGGCGTTGAGCAAATAACGAACCGGTGACGTTTGACCCTTGAACCCGAACTTCCGGCGATCAGCTGTTTGTGGCAGTGACGGCGCGACCGGGCCTCGCCGCCTCCTCCTCCTCGTCGTTGTCGTCATCGCCTCCTCCTCGTTGTCGTCGTCGTCGTCTTCCTGCTCCTCCTCGTCTCACCCGGTTCCCCCATCGCCGCCCTGCGATGATAAAGCTCTTCTCCCTCAAGCAGCAGAAGAAGGATGACGAAGCCAGTGGCGCCAAGGCCGGCTCCAAGAAGGCGTCGGCCGCGCAGCTGCGCGTTACCAAAGGCAATGGCGCCAACCCTCGTCCTTTAGCTCGCGTCGCTTCGTTACTTTTTAAGCCGCCTCGGTACCTGCCGTCCTACCTCGTTACCTGCCGTCCTACCTCGTTACCCTTTGCGCGTTACCACGTTGCCTCGCGCCCGCCATCGTCGTTACCTCGCTCCATCGTCGTTACCTCGCCCCCCCCCGCCTCGTCGTTACCTCGCCCCCTGCCTCGTCGTTACCTCGCCCCCCGCCTCGTCGTTACCTCGCCCCCCCCCCCTCCCGCCGCCTCGTCGTTACCTTGCCCCCCCCCCGCCTCGTCGTTACCTCGCCCCCCCCCCGCCTCGTCGTAACCTCGCCCCCCCCATCGTAACCTCGCCCCCCCCCCCCGCCGTTACCTCGCCGCCCCCCCCCCCGCCGTTACCTCGCCGCCCCGCCTCGTTCCTTTGCGTTACAATTCGCTGCGTTTCGTTCAGTTTCAATGTGCGCGAGTGCCTCTCCGCGTTACTTGGTCACGTTACGTGGCCCCCGTTGCGTGGCGTTCCGTTACATTTCTGCCCATGGCGTTACGTCGTAGTCGGTAGCAGTCGGTGTTAATCTTACGATTGTTTTACTCGGGGGAAAGGCCTCCCTGAGTCTCGTTACGTTTTTTGTTGTTGTTCCGGGAGGCTCCTGCTCACATTTCTCGCACTATGGTGATTACGAATGCTGCGTTTCCCATTCACAGGCCATTTGCCAGTTTTATTTTCTTCTTCTTCAATGTCGCACTTGTGGCACGGTGACGTCCTGCACACGATGGCCTGCACGGCTCTCCGACCCGTCTCACGGGGGGTATCTTTAACGTCGCCCGTGATTATTTCAGATTTCAGGACATTGTATTTATAGTGGAGGTGAAATCCGATGAGCAATAAAGCGCCCTTTTTCACAGATGCCCGGTAGGGGCACGGGGTTCAGAACGTTACAACAAACAAACAATACAAAAAAACACGATACGAGTGTAAAGTATATAAGGTAAACAAATCACTCAAAACACATACAAATAAAACTAAACCATCCACATCCTACCAGGCAATGCCCACTGTGACCTGGCCACAAATGGTAGCGCAACAAAGTGGTCTTATCATTTAGGGCATTTATAGCAGAAAAATCATCTAAATTATACCTGTGACGGTTTACCCGTATTTTTGCACAGGGAAATTTCGTTTTGAAGCCCATACGGCGTATAGACGTTTCAATACGGGCAAAAAAAAAAACACAAATTTTTGTTTGTGGTTCTCGCTTGTGATGGGACCTTGTAGGATGAACGTTGAGCTTTATAAGGGGCACGGGGATGACCAATAAAGTCTGAATTGGTCTGTAATAAGGTAGGGGCGCTGATAAGGGGTTGACAGGTTTGCTGAATAGTCTAAGCGCATGTTTGTAAATGTGGTGGGGAAAAAACCAGAGGACCCACGAGTAGTAATAACCAGTGCGGCCTGCCGGATTCGCACCGCCAACCTCTGCGAACCCACTGCCGTCGAGCCGAAAACACCGTCTAAATGTACTTGTGTACACGACGTGCTGGTGCGTGTTGCAGGGCGTTGTGTACACGACTCGCTTGTGCATGTTCCAGGGCGTTGTGTACACGACCTGCTTGTGCATGTTCCAGGGCGTTGTGTACACGACCTGCTTGTGCATGTTCCAGGGCGTTGCGATACATGGCAATACGTTACAATGCGTTACGGTTTTATGCAAGAGTTTTAGTCACTTCAAATCACGTTTTTACACTTAGCCACGCATTTCGTTACGCTAGAATCTGTTACGACGCATTTACCTGACAAAACCACGGGTTACATTACAGTATATTTAGGTTAAAATTAGTTGCATTACAGCGTTCGGAAGTGTTAAATACATTGCCACCCGTTACGTTGCAATCCATTACACTATATTTTATAACGATGTCGTGTAGTATTGTATCCGTGTGTGAATGCACGTTTGTAACTTTGCGTGTGTATGTGTCTGTATCTGACTGTGCGGGGGGAGCGGTGGCGCAGTGGTTCGCGCGCTGCATACGAACCCGGCGGCCCGAGTTCAATTCCTACTCGCAAGCAACAACGGTGGCGAATATTTGAATTGGTCCAGCGAGCGCCTCCCCTAAATGAGTACCTGGTGCGGTGTGCGAACATCGTCACTGGGGAGACGAGGGTGGTCGGGTGTGGCGATGGCTGCTCAACCCCGGTTGTGCTGCGTTGGCCTTAATAGGTGCTCGCTAACATGGCTTCCGCAGCAGTCTATCAAAAGCTTTACGGGCCACATTTTTTTCTTTGTCTTTGTGTGACCGTGTGTGTGTGTGTGTGCGCAGATATAAATGAACTGAATCTGCCCAAGACGTGTGAAGTCGTCTTTCCAGACCCAGACGATTTTCTTAACTTTAGACTCGTCATTTGCCCTGATGAGGTGGGTACTGTATAGTAAACATCATTACCATCATCATTATGCCACGCAAACGGACCACTGTAGTCTATCCATTGCTGGTTAAAAGGACTTGATTTAATTGTCACGGTCGACTTTGCGAAGAGGTCCATCGACTGTCAGATGATGGGATTACCTTTAGTTTGCAAGGGGCGGGGATTGACATCTACGTACGTTCCCAATTTAATATAATTTACAGACATCCACGTGTTCTTCCAAGTGTAATTCCATGCGTCTCTCCGTGCTTCTTCACGCACTTGCAGCGGTGGAATGTGAAGCAGATGGGTTTGAAGCTGTAAGAGAGCGTGCAGCGGTGCGTCCCGCCTCGAAGTTTCAACTTTGCGCAGTGTCGAACGTCGCGCAAGAACACGCGGAGGGTTACCAACGAGGGGGTTTTGGTGGGGTAATTCGGCCCCACGTGGCTCGTTTAGTTGCTAGGAGCAGCAGGATTGGTCCTAGAATCTCATTGGGGATTTTCGTGAAGTCTCGGTGAATGGGGCGCCACGGTGGATAGATGTAATCTTCCTCGCCTGGCATATATGCAGGAGGTCGTGGGTTCGATCCCTACCCCCTAAAGCCTGCTGTATATTTGGAGTTTGCATGTTTTCTCCGTGGTCGCCTGGAATTTTTTTTCTCCGGATCCTCCGGGTTTTTCCCTCCACATTTGGAATCAACGTGCGTTTAGAGTATTTGGCTGTTATACTTTTTCGCATAAGCCACTTTGTTGAGCTATCATTTGTGACCACGTCGCTTCTGAAAAAGAGCTGCATAGCTCAGTGGGCCCCTTACCTGGTAAAATAAAAAAATAATTTAGTTTAGAATCCACTTCCACCGCGCGTGTGGGCAGCCTGTTCCATACTTCCACCACTTATTTGGTTAAACGGTTGTCTCCTGGCCTCGTTGCTGGACTTTGCTGCACGCGGCTTCCACCTCTGGCCTCTGCTTCTCTGCTCTCTGTACTGACATCAAAGTGTAATTTGCGTGGCAATGGCTCACCGAATCTCCAACCGCTCTATTGACTTTGTGTTTTTTTAAAGGACGTGTCTCAACTCTCTTGTTTTGCCATTCACAGGGATTTTACAAAGGTGGAAAGTTTGTGTTCAGTTTTAAGGTAAAGTAGCAGCAGTGAAAGTGAAAAAAAGCATGTGTTTGTGAGTGTACCTGCGTGCGTGTGTGTGTGTTGGCACAGTAGGGGGCACAAGTGGTGCATCAGCCAGTCATCTCAGTCAGTCGACCCGTGGCACCTGGGTCTGCCCCGTGACCTCCTGCCAGCGGGCGTTCGACACTCCACGTGGCCTCAATGTGCACATGGCCTGGCACAAGCGTCGTGGTGACGTCACCGCCACTTAGTGGCGAATGGCGGTTGTTGTTGTTGTTGTGTTGCCCAAGCGGGGAGCGCTCAACGTAGTAGTGGTTCGTGCACTGTATTACGAACCCTGGAAACTTGAGTTCTGTTCCAGCTCAGGTCAACGACGACGGAGAATATTTGAACCGGTCCTGGGCTTCGCCTAGGTTGCCTCAGCTTTAAAATGGGTACCTGTTGCGGTGTGGAAAGATCAGCGCTGGGAAGACAAAGCTGGCCGGGTGTGGTGCTGCTGGCCACATCACCTCTCTGTGCTT